AGGAAGTGACCAACAAAAGCTGCACAGATAAGATCAAACTCTCAGGAGGGGCTCATTAAAGCTCAATTAGCCCCGTCAGCAGAGAATAAATCGTCCCAGTCTGCTGCACAGCTGGCTGATTGTACAGCCACCGTCTTATCTAAGAAGTCTCACAGAAAACAGGCTCCTTAGCACACTGGAGTTTAAGATTTGACTCATTTCACTAATATTTGTCTTTATTCATTGAAGGACAATAGTAATGACTCAAAGTGAAGCTTAGCGCTCTGGTGATTTCAGTTTACTTTACGCTTGCTTCTTGACAAAAGAGGCAACATTTAAGTTTTCACAAAGACGTTCTTAATTATACGGAGAGTAACACACCTTTTCTTTTACACAGATCGTGCCAACTCGTCCATTTCCAAACATTAAATTGAGCAGATGTCAGAAGCACAGCTTAATCAAAGCAGAAACATGCAGGTGTGTATGAAGGCAGTTGGTTGTAATGCTTGAGGGTGACTGAAAGAGGAAGCGTACACAGTGGGAGTTTAATTTTACTCTTCATTTCTACAAGAGAGTTGTAGTGATTTCAGTTCACAGCATGTGAAGTTGAGTTTCTTTCCTAAAACCCACAGTCAAAGGTCTTTTGTGGTCTGTGGGTTCACTACGAGTCCAGAGACTCATTCAAACATCCAAAAAAGTTAATCATTGATTAACTCTGTGGATTAGAAATGAATGTAGCATCCTGTGCAGGTAGTAAAAGGTTAATGTGACGGTTGCGGTCTACAGTCGCGAGGTAGACCTCACACACACCACATCAAAAAGGCGCTGTGCTGCTGAAATGCATTAGAATAAGGGAAAACCCTCACACCACCCAAAAGCAGCCTGCGAGCTCTGCTGAGTGGGTGGGTGCCGTTTGTGGAGTATCAACTGGGTTCAAGTAAATTTCCAGAAGCCGACAAACACAATGAGCCGTTATCAAAAGAGAATCAGCAAAAATCCCCATAATCCTCACACCTGTGAGTAAAGGGCCAATTCAAAGGATGATGGTTGCTACACTTCAGGGTAATGGTTATGCACAGTTCAAGAAATCTTTGTTGTTTGACGTTATCATCGCACGCCATTTCTAGCCCACTGTGTTGGACTTCCTGCACCTCAGACTTCAGCCATTTCTGACCATCTTCTAACAACTAACAGGCTGATCAATAGTGAAAACAACGGGCAGAAGCAGCCGCACATTAATAATCACCAAAAAAAACAAAAAACAAAGCCATTGCAGATACATTAGAAATATTGGGTCGATAGCATTTGGCCGTCTGCCTGCCTGCCTGCGGGTGGTGTGCTTTGATTATCATTTCTCATGCCCAATACATGTGCTGTGGACGGGAGCTGATAGCTGGGAACAGTCTGGCTTCGATCCTGAAACAAACGTACAAAAGAACGAGGAGACTGATGTCGGCACAGGCGGACATCAAAAGGCCTCCGAGGCTCGCCGTTCCCAGAGGAATCACAGAGAGGCTCACAAATAAAAATAAAATAACAAAAAACCCAGACTGGAGCGCTGTCCACGCATGCACCGCGTAAACTCCCTCAGGACAACAACATGATCAGCATACAACCAGCTAGCTCAAACCTTTCCCCTCTCTCGTTCCAGTAGGACCTCGCGAGCGACGTTTCGTTTGCTGGTGCTCATATAGCGCTAAAGGTCTCCCAGCTCCACCATCATGGACTACAGCTGGTAATAAGAGTCCTTCCCCATCCAGTTTGCAAGAAAATCCCCAGAATAAAACAAGCCCTGACGATTTTAGACGATGAAGGAGCAGCAGGGGTTTGTTGTCATTTAATTAAAAATAGTAAAAACACAACTTCCAGGCCCGAAAGCAATGTCTAAACTTCTCCAGTCGTTACAAGTTACAATGTAAGATTTTTGAAGTATTAAACACAAATTAATGGATTTTACTGTAACGCTGACCAGATGCATGAGTTTACAGGCAGATAAACGGTTTTCCTGCACAACTTTAAATACTTTGGAGGTTGCATAAAGTCTGGAGCAGTTAAAATGTTGTCTGCAACATGTTTTATGATGACACTGGTGAAAGCCATAAGCTGAAATAGCTTGGTCAAGCAGATTTTATATGTGCAACAAGTGTTTCTGGAGCATAACCAGCTTTTCTCTTTACTTAACTATGTATATAAAATATAACTTTTTTTTGTGCTTAAAATCTGCAAGAACCCCTCTTTAGAGTAACAGCACACAGCAGAGCTTTCTACTTATAATCAGAGACTGCTCAGCATCTTTAAACTGCCTGTCTCTGTCTTGAGTTTGACTAAAAAAAGTCAGCTGAAAGTGATATAACCAGAATTGGAGGGTTTTTATGGTCGACTTCTGCCCTGAATGCATTCATATAGTTCCCGTTACAACTGCCAGAGTATGCAGTGGTTGGAAAAGGGTGGAGGGAGTCCGGGGGATCGGATTCGACTGCACTCCGTCGTGGGCAGGAAGGACAAAAACCTCCTCTCTCTGTGTGCCAACATTCCTGGGCCCAAAGGGATTTTATAGACCAGCGGGCAGCAAAGCAGGAACCATTATTACATCCTAGTCATAGTATTTATCAAGCGCCACCCTGCACCCCATCATGCAAAGGAGACAAAAAACTAGCCTTAAAAACCTGCTTCATTCTGGTGCAAATGATCGGAAGGGGGGGAAACTGCAAAACCAGTCACATTCCAACAAGCTCCAACAAATGGGCTCCAGAGGCAACAAGCTAAGGGTTTGGTGGGGCAACGTGGATTAACTCTGGGGCAAAGAAGACTTTTCTTACCCCGATTAACCACCACAATTTCAACTTCAAGGACATGTGTTAAATTAAATCATAAAACTGGACTTCTATTTCCATAAAGATGAACGATACCCTTATTAAACCCCAAACAAGCTCATCGTTCAGCCTCTTAAACAAGATGTTGTTTTATTCTGTCTCACATCATAATTAAAGGCATGTGTTTGGAGTTCTCTCAACATTTTTGACATTTCTGAAAAACGCCCTGCACACTAGCACAAACATTACACTCGGCGCTGGTCTTTCCTATCTTTTTCACCTTCACCCTTGGCAGGGCAGCGAAGGACCATACATGGGCAGAAAACGCTGAGGTCAATGGAAAATAAAAAGAACAGAGAACAGAGTTTGTTTGGCATGCCACGCTATCTTGAACAAACTGATAAAAACAGACAAGCTGACCAAAGCGAAATGGCACCAAGTTCCTGCTGGCATCCAGTTGATATGAAATCCGACTCAATCCCGTGATAAAAACATTCCGATCGTGCCTGTGGCTCTCAAAAACCCCTTTTTCTGCATTCAGAGCATGTTCTATTGTCAGGTAAAAGAACATTGTTATCGATTAGCGGGGAATGCCAAACCCACATACCAATAATGACCTCGTGGGCAGAGAGGAAAGGCCACAAGGAGGCAAGTATTGTGATAGCTCAGAGGCCAAGTATGCATTAAAGGAAAGAACACGCGGGAGAGAAAGGGGTCAATATCTGGAGCTCGTTTAAGGAAGGAAAGGGGGAATGTTTTGGTGGGAAAGCTGTAGGTGTAACCACACTAGGCTAGCTGTGTTAAAGAAGTGGAGTGTCACCCCGAGGCCCCATTGAGACCCCATCAAGTGTGCAAAATCCCAGAGAGGGCCGGTCAAGGTCACCAAAGGTCACATACCAGAGGGGGGACCAAAAGAAAGAAGAAGAGGAGGAGGAGGAGGAGAAGATACTTTGAGGAATGTAACAGACTGTAAGGCCCAATCAGGCCGCCATGTTTTGTTCCAACCCCTTCTCACACCAAAATGTGGAACGTGGAACAGCTAGAACCCCGAATATAACCGTTATGCTGCTTAAACCGAGAACCGCCCCAGCCTACAAATGTGTCTGCAAATGGTTGTGACGTGTTTCACAAACTAAAGTGTGATTGTACAGACAACAATCTGCTCTGAGATTAGCATCCTTTAACAAATCCTGCCGTATGTCAGACATGCAGTTAAACCAGCTCTTACTGCTTTTTGCTCATTCTCACCATTCATTTGGACCAACTGGCCTGAGTGGAGGGGGGGCAGGGTGCATGTTTTTGTATGTGGGTGGCATCAAGCATTCAATGTTGATGTTAATCACACCAAAAATGATTAATTAGAGCAACAAAACAGAAGCAATGTAACGCATGTTTGGG